ACTGAAAGCAGAAACTAAGGAAGAAACTAATAAAAGGACCAAACTCCCACCTTCTCTTCTACCCCCTGGGGCTCTGCACTCCATCCCAAGCCCATGGGCTGAGCACCCCAGTGGCCTGGAATGTGCCCACGGGGCAAGAGAGGTGCCCTCACACTCAGCAGATTGAAAAGACTACACGGTACCTCCTACTCCGGGTCCCTGGACATGAGCACAGCGAGGCCCCGGCTCCTCCTCATGCCGGCTGGGATGGGAGGTCATGGCCGCCAAGACTCCCTCTCCCAATGTCATCAGCGAACACTGCTCTTATCCGAATGAGCGGTGGAGAAGCCATGTTAGGGATTTTCTAAGCTCCCAGGAAGGCGGAGCCATCGCACACGCACACAGCCCAGGCAAGGAGATGAAGCGTGGAAGGCCTCACTACCCCAGGATGGTCCCAGAACCAGCAGCCCAGCCTCACCTGGGAGCTTGTTAGAAATGCGGAATCTCAGATGCCACCCACATTTGTCTAATTGGCCTCTATAGTTTGACAAGGTAAGTACATTAAAGGTCAAGAAATGCTGGTTTATGAAGCTTCTTGCATTTCAGCCAAACCATCCGAGGTAGCAATAAGCTCCTGGCGTGGTATCATTTGAGAAGCTGGCTCTATCCTCAAAGTCACTGTCTTGCCAATGGGTTTCAGCCCTGGGCAAGTTCGCTATGGATTCAAAGTGACCAAAGAAAATTGACAGCAGAATGCTCTTTGGGGTGAAAGGGTTATACCCAACTTTATTTCCAGGTGGTCAGGTCAGTCACTAGAATCCCATTCACTCAGAGCAAGTCTGAATGCAGCAAGCCTGTCTCCGCCTCTGGCCCCTCTGTCCGCACAGCCGTCTTCTGGGCTTCTCTGCACAGCTGTCCTGCACAGCCATCCTCTGGGCGTCTCTGCCTGCACAGCTGTCCTCTGGGCCTCTCTGCACAGTCATCCCACACAGCCGTCCTCTGGGCCTCTGTCCTCGGCGCTGCCACCACTCCAGCCTCTGCTCTCCTGCAGCCTTGCAGTCCTGCCACCATGTCATGCCCAGAGCTCTGGGCAGAGCTCTTTATATAGAGTCAACAACCATGTATTGCCCACAGGTGTGCAGTGAGCTAGTCAACCATGGCCAGGTGAGAATCCTGGCCACAGGAACTCTCATTTTATCCACAGTCACCTGGGAACAGGATGTGGGGAGGGGAATGAGGAGGTGGCACTTCCTCTGGTTTGAACCCATTAAACATGGACACACATACTGGTGTGCTGAGCCCAGCTCCTCTCTGGGTCAGGGGCTGGCCAAGAGTTTGGGATTGCTGTGGTTCATGGCCAGGTAGCCACAGGTGGTAACGCTTAGCTCCATAAAAGGCAGGCCCATGGTTCCCCTCACAAACCTATGCAATGAAACCAAGAAATCCACCCAGCAGACAAGACAAGGTAGTCACATTTTTGTACTTTTCCAATGCACTAAATTATAAAATTATGAATTATTGTTATTATTATCATAGTGTTCACAGGCACAGTTACTGAAAATTTAGAAGCGAGAAAATTTATGCAGTTAACTCATGTAAACTGCCCCAGGAGCCCTTGTTCACGAACCTATGGCCCCGTGAATGGCTCCTGCTGGAATTCAGTGTTCAGAACCCAGGAAGGTTCCAATGAGCAGGAGAAGTTCCACATGGCAGGGGGAGGGCAAAGCGCCCTGGGAACCCAAAACTGGACACTAGCAGTGGAGAACCGGCACCAGGGAACAGATTAGAACCCCGGGGCATGAGCTAGAGAGGCTGGGGCCTGGGCCTAACCTCTCTGCACAGAGAAGGGAGTGAAGCCCGTGAAGGGAAGTTCCCAGCCAGCCTGCATGTGACTGTGCGGCAGGGCTGGGCACAGAGCTGTCTCCTGACTCCCGTTCCCAGGGCCATCCCCCAACCGGCCACTCCATCCCGTTTCAGTTGGGTTCCCTGGACATGCGGTAAAATGGCCATTCCTGACCTTCAGTTACTTCCGTGGGGACTTCTCAGTGTCCTTGAGGGCCCCTTTGCATGAAACTGGGAAATGTGGCAGGAGTGAAGTTTAACTAGGCAGAGGTGAAGAGCCATTTCTCAGAGCATCTGCCCCAAAGACATCTGCACAGAATGTGACGTCCTGCAAAAGTAAAACTTTGCCACGCAACCTTTTAAAAGTGCCCCTAGACTGGGTAAGCAAATTGTGGTGATTCAAACAAAGGAATATGATTCAATCATAAAAAAGAATGGTGGACTGACACACTACAACACAAGCGAACCTTGAAAACATTTCTCTAAGTGAGAGAAGCTAGTCACAAAAGGCCATATTTTATATGACCCCATTTATATGAAATGCCCCAAAGCAGGCAAGTCCACAGAGACAGAAAGAAGATTAGAGGGAAGGGGAGGTGGGAACTGACTGCCAGTAGGTAAGGGATTTTCTTTTGCTTTTGGGATTCTATGTAGACATGATAAAGCACAACATTGTGAATGTACTGAATGCCACTGAAATGTACATTTTAAAATGGTTATTTTTATGCTATGTGAATTTCACCTCAATTTTTTTTTAATGAAAAAATAAAAGCTCCCAGATGTCACACGATTAAATCAAAGATGACATTTGTCTCCTTTGGGTAGAAAGGTCTTCCTGGCTTTGGCCTGCTGGACCCTCCCTAGTAAATCACAACTACGGTGCTCACAGATGCCCCCAAGGGAGGAAGGATGGGGAGAGCCAGGGCTGGGCTTCTGGGCTCACTCACTGTGGAGCTTGGGCAAGCATCTAAGGTCCCCAAGCCCCAGTTTCCCCCTCCGTAGAATGGGGGTGGTATAGTTCCATCTCCTCCACAGGTGATTGTAAGGAACAAATGACGCAGGGATGTCAGCTGTCCAAGCACTACATGTACTTATGAGAGTACATTTGCTGTAAGGCAAAGAACAAGGAGAGTCCTCTTAATGGCTGGAGAAGAAACCCACCCAAGGTAGATCCCCAGCACCACGGGGAACCCAAAAAGCCTTTTAGTCCAGTCCCAGCCCCCTGGGAAGAATGGCCATGCCAGGCTATGGGATTCTGAGGCACTCACTTACCCAAAAAGTATTTGGGAGTGCTAATTCTGGGCCAAGCTCTCGTTAGGTGCTGTGGAAACAGAACAAAATGGATAAAAATCCCTGACCTAGTGGGATGCACCTTGAACCCCAGGGGCGAGCAGTTGATAAGCAGGGGCCCGCATGGGGCTCCATCCCCATCGCTCTCCCTCCCTCCTGCCTTCATGAGACTAACATGCAGGAGTGACCACTCTGCTGAGTAAAGATGAGGAACAGAACACAGGGCGATTATGAACTTGTAAAGTGAGCCAGAAGGCCCCCCAATCCACCTGCCCATCCTGCCAAAATGTATCTCTTTTGAGACCAGCATTTGTCCCCTCAGGCTGTGCCATTTAAAATGTAGAAGTTCTCAAGCATATATGTTCAATTAATATATGATAAAAGAACCATGGACATACAATGGGGAAATGACAGCCTCTTCAACAGTTGGTACTGGCAAAACTGGACAACTACATGTAAGAGAATGAAACTGGATTATTGTCTATCCCCATACACAAAAGTAAACTCAAAATGGATCAAAGACCTGAATGTAAGTCATGAAACCATAAAACTCTTAGAAGAAAACATAGGCAAAAATCTCTTGAATATAAACCTGAGAAACTTTTTCCTGAACACATTTCCTCAGGCAAGGGAAACAAAATCAGAAATGAACACATGGGACTATATTAAGCTAAAAAGCTTCTGTACAGCAAAGGACACTATCAGCAGAACAAAAAGGCATCCTACAGTATGGGAGAATATATTAGTAAACGACATATCCGACAAGGGGTTAAACATCCAAAATATATAAAGAACTCACATGCCTCAACACCCAAAAAGCAAATAACCCTATTAAAAAATGGGCAGAGGATATGAACAGACAATTCTCCAAAGAAGAAATTCAGATGGCCAACAGGTGCATGAAAAGATGCTCCACATCACTAATTATCAGGGAAATGCAAATTAAAACCATAATGAGAGTATCACCTCACACCAGTTAGGACAGCCAGCATAGAAAAGACTAAGAACAACAAATGCTGGCGAGGATGTGGAGAAAGGGGAACCCTTCTACACTGCTGGTAGGAATGTAAACTAGTTCAACCATTGTGGAAAGCAATATGGGGTTCCTCAAAAAACTAAAAATAGAAATACCATTTGACCCGGGAATTCCACTCCTATGAATTTACCCAAAGAAAATCACTTCTCAGATTCAAAAAGACATATGCACCCTTATGTTAGTCACAGCACTATTAACAATAGTCAAGATATGGAAGCAAGCTAAGTGTCCATCAGTAGATGAATGGATAAAGAAGATGTGGTACATATACACAATGGAATATTATTCAGCCATAAGAAGAAAACAAATCCTACCATTTGCAACAACATGGATGGAGCTAGAGGGTACTATGCTCAGTGAAATAAGTCAGGCAGAGAAAGACAAGTACCAAATGATTTCCCTCATTTGTGGAGTATAACAATGAAGGAAAACTGAAGGAACAAAACAGCAGCAGACTCACAGACTCCAAGAAGGGACTAGTGGTTACCAAAGGGGAGGGGGAGGGAGGGTAGGTGGGGAGGGAGGGAGAAGGGGTCACGGGGAAGACAGTGTAGCTCAGAGAAGACAAATAGGGACTCTGTGGCATCTTACTGCACTGATGGGCAGTGACTGCAATGGGGTATGGGGGGGACTCGATAATAAGGGTGAATGTAGTAACCACATTGTTTTTCTTGTGAAACCTTCATAAGAGTGTATATCAACAATACCTTAATTAAAAAAATGAAGAACAAAAAACTGACCCAAATTGAACTTCTAGAGTCAAAAATTTATACATATTTTATTTTTTAAATATTGTATATTTAGGCAACAGGGCATAAATAATGAACTGAAGAAATGTATTACTATTGCTCTCTGGCTCATTTTAGTGTATACTTGCAATTTCTCCTTCCCACAACCTGCCCAGATCCCACTTTGTATCATACAATACTTAAAGGGGATCACTTAACTTTTCTAAGCCTCCTTTCTTCATTTATGAACTAGTCATAACACTGACCTAAAGGAATGTTGTGAGAATCAGAAATAATCTATGCAGGTCATGGGTGAGTGGTCCTAACAAATATGTCAATTGCCTACTTTTGTCTATATTAAAATTACAAGCAAAGAGAAAATAAAATATGGAAACTACAAGGAAGAAAATAAATAAAAATAAAAATGAAATGTAGAAGTTCTCTGGAAGTAGATGCTACAAGCATTGATGTGAACTAGTTTACCAGACTACTGGTCAACCCAAGAAAACAGACGTGTAAGTAGGTAAGCAGCCGGTGTATGCCAGGTGCCCAGGAGAGGCGGATCACAGCAGAACAGGAGGCCTGGGCTGGAGTGATGTCCATCCTTCGCCAGCTGGGCTCCAGGTGGTAGAAGACCCGCTGGGTCCCTAAGGGAGCAAAGACACTCTGCCTGATGAGGAAGTGGGCCGACAGAAAGCCGGGGGACATCTTCCCCTAGACCTGCAGCCACAGGGTCGGGACAAGGAAGAGCCCTCATAATGCCAGTGTGATAGGAGAGGGAGAAGCTATCGGGACACTGACTCCTGGGGATGAGATCAGACCAACCAGACAACTGAGTTCAACAAGCAGGTCCTTGGGACAGGGACCAAGCCACCCCCGGCCACCCCCCTCAGCAGGATTCTGAGGGTACAGGGACACAGGACAGGTAAGTTTTGATGAAGGGAGGCCAGGGGAGGAGGAAGTAGACTAGATAAGGACTAATCTGAAGGCAAGAAGTGCCTGGGGCTAGGATGGGCACTGGCCACAAAGCAGCCAGCCGGAGGTGCAGAGCTCTCGGGGACTAGAGGGGTTGGGGTGCGGTACACACCTGCGGGCAGGCTGGACAGCTGTAAGTATCAGGAGAGGAAGGGAAGTGGGAGAAGATGGAGAGAGAGGGAGGGAGGAAGGACGGAGGAAGCGGGGGGCAAGGAGGATGGCACCAAGAACCGAGTAGACATGCTGCTCACAGACCCAGGGACAGCCTGTGCCAGCCCAGTACTGCCACTTTGATCCTCCCCAGCCTGCCCACAGCCCATCAGTGCCTCTCTTGTGATTCAGGTACAAGCCTCAGCCCCTCCTCTGCTGCCACTGGAGAGCTCAGGGCCTTCCATCATCTGGTACCCCACGCGGCAGGGTGGAGAGCCAGGAGGCAGCCTCTCCCACTGGCACCAGAAGCTGCAAACAACAACTTATCACTGCCCCTTTGTGTGAGAACAATGCACTCCAGGGAGCCCCACCAGCCAGAGAGAGGAAGTCTCAGGACAATGACCTCCCTTCCCCCATTTCCTAGTCTGCAGGGACATGTGGGGATGGAAGAAATCCTAGTGCAGAGAAGTCTCAGTGGCTCAGGGACCCAGGCAGGCCCAAGTTCCAACCTGCATGTCGTGCTCGCCTCCTTTGCACACACCTGCCCAGCTCCCCGTGCTGCCACCTGCCCCTCCTCAGCAGCCCCCGTCTCCATGCCCCTGGCCGTGGCGCTGGCTAACACCTGCTTTGCCAACTCCCATCTGGCTGCTCCCACGACTGCCCAGCCAGGCACTTGGGGCCCTTCTCGTCTTCCCTTTCCTGTCTTGCTAAACCCGAGGCCATCTTCCACCACAGCCAATGTGGCCCTTCTAACAGACAATTCACAGGTATCAGTCATCTCAGGACCCATAACAAGTGGCACAGGCAGCAGACACGCGTCCCCTCGCAGTTCTGCAGGCTGCAAGTCCAAGGCTCGGTGTCAGCAGGTTTGGTTTCCTCTGAGGCTTCTCTCCTTGGCTGGCAGACGGCAGCTTTTCTCTGCCTTCTGTGTAAAGGCAACCCTCTGTCCCTTCCTCTACTTAGAGGGACACTAACCCTATTGGACTGCTGGATCATTTAACCTTAATTACCTTTTTAAATGCCCATCTTTAAATACTTTCACATCAAGAGTAGGAACTTCAACATTTGCATTTTGGGAGACATGGTTTAATGTCTCTCCGCATCACCCACAGCTCCCGTCACCGCCCCAGAGCTTCTGGGCTGGCCTTCAGAGATCCTCACACCACCAGCCCTTACTGGACACCTCAGCCTTATCTCTTGTTCTTTTTTCTCAGGCTGTATCACTGCTGGACACCACAGTACACACTTGTGTTTGGTCTGACTCCCTTTACTGAAATGCAAGTTCATTGGAGGCAGAGAATTTGTCTCATTCAGCACAGAATTCCCAGGCCCTGTTCCAGTTAGTAGGTGCTCAAAAAATATCTGTGGAAGGCAGGACCCTCCCCCTACTTCCCACACTGCATGTTGCTCCCCCAAAACTCTGAACCTCACTCATTGCTGTTCCCTGGATCTAGAACACATTTCCACTCCGTCCTTTGTCTAGATAAGTATAATTTATCCTCCAGCATTGAACTCAAGGGATTCTCCTCCAGGGACTTGCTCTGCAGCCCAGAGTGGGTTCAGTACCTTGGTACAGGCTCGGATTTGCCACACTGTGTTGGAATTATCTTATGTACAACAGAGTCATCCAAGTGGACTGGAAACTCCTCACAGGCAGGGCTGTGCCTTCCCCACCCTGTTACCCCCAGCACCTGGCAAGAGCCTGGCTCCCCAAAGCAAGCAGAACTGCTTTGATATGCACTAAAAACTTAGACATTGTGGCCCATCAGCTCCAAAACTTTTATCCTCTCATTCTTTTTTGTCTCCACGATAATTATTGAGCAACTAATACAGAATGTCCTACCCTGGGTCTGTGAGTTCAGGGAGTCTGTGAACGGAGATGGGAAAAAAATGACATCTTTAATTTGACTAATCTCAAATGAATAGTCAGCATTTCCATCAACTATGAACATAGGCCCAAACCACAGTAGTATAAACCACAGAGAATAAACAAGTGCACAAATGAATAAACAGTATCATTTCACATTGTGACAGCTACTAGAAAGTGAACACAACTGGGGAAGGGGAAGGAATGACCAGGTGGCAGAGGCAGGACTGTTCTGCTGGTGATCAGGACAGCCTCTCGGAAGGCAGGGTATTTGAACAGAGCCCTGAATGATAAAACACACGCAGTACAAAAGGCTGGGGAATGGGTGCTCTGGGCAGAGGCCATGGCAAATGCAAAGGCCCTGAGGTAGCCCCTCCAGGGGCATGTTGCCGTGTGGCTGGAGAAAGCCAGATGGGGGATAGACATAAAGAAGAGTGGCTGGCTGGGCCAGTCCCATAGGACGCTGCAAGCTGGGTAAGGAGCTGGGGTTTCGTGCCAAGTGTAATGGGGGCTACTGGAGACGTGACAGTAAAAAGCAGAGCCGTTTCCCAATCTAATTTACAGTTGAAAAGATCACTTTGGCTGCCATGGGGAGCTGGAAACAGGGGTTAGTGAAGAAGCCATTGTACTCACCCAGCCAAAAGCAATGGAGATTTGGACCAGCATGGGAGCTGGAGAGGGGATGAAAAGCGGTTGGATTTGGAATATATTTTGAAAACAGAGATGACAGAATGTTTGATGAACTGTAAGGGGGCGGACAGGGGGGAGGAGGGCTGAAAGAGAGGAACTGAGGCAAATCCCTGGCTTGGGGCCTCGGCCATGGGTGGATGGCAGTGCCAAGACGGAGGAGCCATGGAGAGAAACAGGCGGGGAAGGGTGGGCTCCTGACTACATGGGGGGAAATATCCAAATCCTGCCACAGACCTTAAACCCCCCACAAACTGGGGGGCCCAACCTACATGCCCATCCTCATCCTGCAGTGGCCCTTCGGGCAAATCCTCAGCCAAGCCGAGTCTGTCTGCTTGCTGCACCCTTGCATGTGCTCTCTCTCACTCCACTCTCTGAGGACTGCCACAGTCAATCCTACAACTCCCACGTGAAGGCCCAGGTAGACCCCCTCTTCCAGGCAGACCTCCGGCAATCCTTCATTCCTCTGAAAGCCTTCACTAAGTCCCCTTGTTTGATATCTGACACTTTCTGCTTGCTTGGCTGGTCACTTTCTTCCAGCCTGTCTGTGAGTGGCAGCAGTCCTTCAGGGGCCGGAGTGCTGTCCCCCATGATATTTAGTAGAACCTTATGCCTATGGAAGGTATCCCAGGGCCAGTTTTGATGCATCTCAGATGTTGACCCACCATTAATCCGAGTGTCCTCAGGTCTGCCAACAGCTGGAGCCATTGGTTTTGAAATCCTTGTTTGGTAGTCGCCCAAATTGAACAGTTAGTTAGAAACTACTAATTGAGTTATTATGAAATGTGACATTTAAAGTTCTGAAATTCTTTTAAGGATATTCCAGAGCCGGTTCGATCAGAACACTTATCGTTGAGTTTTCTTAGCAGCACAGATGGATGCAAAGCCAATAAGCAGCTCGGTTGGAATTTCTTAACTGGTTTTCAGATCACATGGGCAGAGCAAAAGGGGGTATTTCCTTTTAAAGTCACACCTCCACGTCGCTGTCTCTTTGAGGTAAAGAGCAGGCGAGGTGGCTCTCCGTATCTCTAGAGCTGTTGGTTTCATTCCCTCTCCTGAACCACAGTACACAATCCTGGCAATTAGTTCCATGTGGCAGTATTTAGCATAAGCATGTCTCAGTTTCCCATAAACATTGCAACATGTTTTGCATTCTCAGCATGGATATTTCCAGTTGCCTGCCAGACTAGAAATGTGTAGCTTGCTCGCAGCAGCTCACCACTATTTCATGGAAAAATACAGCCCTAAGAATTGCAGTGACTTCAGGAGAGAACCTGTAAGTTCAAAAACACATTCTGTCTTTGTAATAAAAGCCCTCCCATCCCAAGTGTCCACCAAGCTCTGAGCTGGCTCTACACACAAACACGGCATGGAAATCAAGTATCTTCCAAAGATTAAAGATGGGATAACGTAATGGCAGCACCACAATTGTGCTGACCTGAGGGATGCTGTCACCTGGTGGTCTGAACTTGGCTTTGACAGAGGGATAGGGCGATCAGAACAGTGGACTCCACAACCATTTATGGAGCCCTGGAACATGAGGGCAGTGGGGCAGCTGCAGGAGACTCTGGCTTGCTTTTTTCCTTCAGCGTACCTGAACTCTAGCCCAGGAGATGAGAGAAATCCACAAGCCCCTGCTTCCGTGCACTGTAAAGTGAAATTAGCACAGGCTTCTGGGAGGAAGACAGAATCAAATTCAGATCCCAGCCAAGGCACTAAACCGTTTTTTCACTTGGGCATGTTCACTGCCTCTTGGGTCCTCAGTTTCCTCATTTGTAAAAGAGAGATAATACTTTCAAGGCTGGTATGAGAAAACAAGAGAGCAATGAATGGTTCTAAAGTTCAGAGAACCATGCCTGGCACACAGAAGTTGTTCAGTAAATGGTTACGAGGCAAGACCCACTCACTCACTGGGAGGCTTTCAACCCTCCAGGGCCACACCAAAGATGGGAAGGCAGGGTGTCGATC